CTGAAAGTTTTTTCTTTTCACTGTGTACTTCTTATTTTAATACTTAATGTTGAGAGGGATATAACATTAGACAACTATACCTTTTTTATCTCCTACTTTACAGCTTTGAGTTCTATGCTATTTTGTATTAATGATGTTTGGATAGTTCAATATTGTATAAGCAAGAATTTGCCTTTGAAACTTCAATGAGTTTTGTTTCATGTTCCACAGAATGTTCAGATGTTACAGGGTATCGAGAGATTGAAGCTCTTGCTCTAGAGTCCTTACATTACTCATTGTTGTGGCTATATTAACTGTAGCCCTCCTCTCTAATGTGAACAGCCTTTCCATTTTCCCGTGTTTCTTCAATAATGCCAGGACATTAGTTCAATGCAGTTGTAGGGGAAACAGTGCCACCCGTTGGATTACCACTATCATCCTTTTGTTACATAGGCCTGGTCCTGGAAGGTGTGCTGATCCCCTTTCGGTTATCATGGCTTAATTCTGATTGTATTTTCTCAATGCCTATACTTTCCCTGCAACTTTTATTATGCTGCTACACCCTTATTAAAATTTCCAGGGTGGTGGTTTTTTGTTATTGTTGTTTGTTGGTTTTTTGGGTTTTTTTTGTTTGTGTTTTCTTTTTTTTTTCCCTCCTGTTCTTAATGTGTATGCATAAAGTTTGACTGCAGTTGACTGCAACAGAGCAGTTAAAGCTCTTCTGGAGCATCTTGCTAGCAGTTGAGAGGAAAACATTTTTACAGTTTTCTTTAAGTGGATTTTATCTGCTGTTTCTCTGACTTCTGCCTCAAAAAGGCATTGTACACTTTTGTTGAACTCTGTGGCTGGGTTTTTTTTTTTTTTTTTTTTTTTTTTTTTTAGGAAAGATTTAAGGATATGCAGCAATTATTCCATGTTTTTCTCCCTCTTTCCTTTAATCAGATTGGTGTTTATTTTTAGCTTGATACTGAGTGCTTAGTCAGTGTAGCTGCTAGCCTATGACTTCACATTTCTCAATCTTAAACAGTAAGTTATTATAAATCAAAAGATTCTTTCCTTCCAGACAGAGAGAAGTTATAATAGATGTGTAGCAATTGCAATGTTGTGCCAATTGCATTGGAATAATAAACAGAGCAAGCAAGCTTCTCCCTATGGCCTGGATAACAAAAAAGACAATAATTCACATACATATATGCTTTTTTTCTCCCTTAGATTCTAGTTGCTGTGAGTTTGAGGTGTCAGTCTGTCTATGTTCATACCTCTCTCCAAGCATAGTAAATTCCCCAAAATAGGTGTTATCTCCCATGACAATCTAGCAAAGGCTCTAATCTGAATCTAGACCTAAACTCAATATTTGTCTCCCTGGGTCTGAATAACCAGGTTGCATTAAGCTTTCTTAGGTGGGAATACAGCAAAAAACTTGCATCTGTGACTCTATCAAATGTGTTTATATAGCATGGAAGGGTATTAATTTTCTTAATTTTAATATAACTCTAACCTCATTGGTTCAGGCCCTGCTTTTTCCACACACTTGATATATTTAAGTTCAGCTCAATACCTCTGTCACTTAGCAAAGGAAAAACATGTTTCTCTGCTAGCAGGATAAAAATGGAGTTTAAGATTCCCTTCTCTTCTGATGCCCTTTGTGTGGCTTTTGGGGACGTTATGAATTGTAATGTTAGGTATGTGTTTTGGGGCAACAGAAAAGAAAACAAGCCTCGATTTAAAATGAGATATATATTACAGTAGAGGAATGGTGTAGTTTTGCATACATATCTCGCTGTTCAGTGTAGCATAGGAATCTGGAGCTTCTCGCAAAATTTAGATATTTGCATTTTAGTGGCAGTTATATGAATTGTCGTAGAACATTTAAGTCCTTAAGTGCCTTGGAAGATCTTACCCAGAATCTATATAACGTTATTTAAGCAGCACAATGATGATTATTAAGGGATTGGATATAACTAAAATGCAAGGCTGGTATACAATTATGCTGGTTTTGTTCTAGAGGACTCCTTTGGCTAGTAAGCAATGACTGAATGTTGTGACCTAAGACTTGCTATGTGAAATGGAAAATAAAAGTCCAGCTTTACTTGTGTACTTTGCAAAACTTGAAAGAATGAGAAGAGTGTCACAGAGCCGCAAACCAGAATACAAGTTTAGTTTCTCAAATTTCATTTTCAGCATTAAATGGTCATTTCAGCATTCTTAAGCTCAAAACTCCTGCTATAGGATGAATCTGTAGTTTCGATTTTGGGGGTTTTGGGGTTGTTTTTTTTGGTTGGTTGTTGGTTGGTTGAGTTGTTTGCTTTGTTTTTGTTTTTAAGGAAATACCTGTATTTAATAGTGGTTTTGATGGTGCTATTAGTATATACATGATTCCACAGAATGTAGGCTAAAACATCACCATTAATACTTGACTTTAAACTATGTAAGACTGAATACCTGTGTTAAAAACTCATTTGGGTCAAATGAAAATTTTCACCAAAAATGTAAGAACTGTATTCCCAGAACCCTCAGCACCTTGATTAACTCTGTTTTTTTTTAAAAAAACAATATATAAAGACTTCCCTTGAAATGTATTGATGATAATTAATTCTAGAGCAAGACAATGGGGCAGATTTGATTCAGATCCAAAATGCGATCGTGGGTGCCTTGGAATACTGCAAGGGGTGGGGCAGGGTGCGTACAATCACTTTGATTCCCCATAACTTCATTCAGAGAAAAACAGGCCTTGTGATCACTGCTAATCATAATTCAGGGTATATTGCAAAGTGACAATCTACAAGTTCTATTAATCACATTAGTTTCTTATGAGATGGTAAGACTCTTACCAGTTGATATGGATTTAATAGCTTATTTCACCTTGCAACACCTGTATGCATCTGATCAATAATGTAGTTTAATGAAAGAAGATTCAAACTGTACATGTTAACATTATTATATTAGACTTAGGTAGTAAAAATGTTATTTGAAGAGTTTCATGCTTCAGTCCTTGAATTTGACTGACAGATCTCACTGATTTGGGTGATAATGCATCAGAGAAGACAACAGGTACTTGACTCAGGCAAAGTACTCTTTCTCAGACATTCGCAAAGCAGAAAGTTATGGTCAGCAGGATGAAAAAGGAATGAAAAATTAATTTAAACTTTCAGTTGAATAGAATTTTTTTAACAAGTTGCAGTGATTACATCATATTAAGAAATTAATGAGTTTCTTTCTTTTATTGGAAATTATGTGCATGTTTGATTTTGGTCCTGTAGAGCTCCGGAGTTTGGTTATATAACTATAATTATACCTTAGTTAAGATACTGCCATTATAGCATTGAGTGATAGCTGAGAGTAAGAGAAACTTATACGTTGTTGTTTCAGTAAGTCTACTTAGAATTAACACATTGCACGTTCCCTTGTATTGCTGGCACTATGACTGTCAGGCTCCTTCCTAATACGGCAGCTTCAGAAAAAGGTCTGATGCCTGTATTGAATGAAGAAATTTTTGTTTCAGTGCTCATCTGTTTCTTGAACAGTTGAGATTGTCAACAAAAGTAGCAATAGTGGTGGTAGTACGCATTAGTTATGGTATTTATACAGATTAATATATTTGCTCTGTCAGAACTGGAATGACATCACTAGTTTATTTCACAAATGCAGTTGTTTAGATAGTGTCTTAAATTTTAGCCGCTTCTGACCTAAGAAGTTGTATTTCAACTGGCAGTGTAAGGAGCTGCATGTCCCCTTAGTTAGTAACCTGGTTTACCCAATCCTGAGTGATCAGTTCTCTGGGTTTATTTTAAGGGACATTCCTTCTAAGCAGCTACTTGAGACGTGCCTGCCAGAAGACTAAGGGACATTTTGTTTTGATTCTGTAGACCAGCAGATCAGATGAGTTGCAGGAGACATAATTTTCCATCTGTTTCCATCCTCTGTGCAGCAGACAGGAATCTTTTCTAATTTCTTCCAGAAGACTTGTATCTAAGATACAAAAAATAGCTTATTGGATTCATGTTTTCAGATTCCAAATTACCCAGTGGATGCCGTTGTTCAAGAGACAGAAACCTAGAGTAAGGATATCAGAAATCTAAGTCACAATGGGTACACAAACTATCATGTACTTCATGATTCTTCAAGCCAAAATTTGAGTGCAGAAATTTCAGTTATGCTGTCATGTGTAGATGCAGACCTACTTTGGGTAGGATGTGACACTAAATCTTCCCACAGTGTTGGAGAATCTGTGGGAGCCAGTAGAACAGACAATTGCATTGGCTTTATGTTCAGAAAAAAAGAGTTAGAGAGAGAGATGTGATTAATCCAGCTTCTGCTGCACTAGCCAGAAAAGTAAGTTCTACCTTGTTAACAAGGGCTGGATGCTAGACCTAACAAAATGATTTGGTTCAAAAACTTCAACAGATTTAAAGGGGGGAAAACATTGGGACTTACAAGGTGCCCGGGGTATGTATCCATTGTATCAGGACATGCTGCATCAAGCTATTGCTTTAACCTGTTTGAAAGTTAACTGTAGTCTCAGTGGACAGGAGTGCAGAGTAAATGCGTATTTTTACATAGCCTTACGCTTATTCTGTGCATTTTACAACCATGTATATAAATGGAAATTCAGTCTAATCTGTCATCACTCTTGGTTTACTTACCGATGAGCACAAACTTACTGCAGTCCTGAAGGATAGGTCTGATAAAGCTATAGTGTGATTCGAATGCCATGCAATAGGATTACTTACTATCTGAAGTTAAAGAATATAGTTTAACGGAGGTTAAGATCTAGGACCTAATTGTATACTGGGGTTCCCTGAGCTAGGATTCAACTTTTTATCTCTTTTTCAATGCAAGAAAGCATTCTATGATAATATATAGTGTTTGAAATTCAAGTAGGAGTAGCTTTCTAAAGAAAATGACAGCTGAAACAAAAAAATACTAGTTTATGATTTATTTTCCTTGTCTTTTTGTGTCTAAAAGAGTAAATGTTTCACTTTAACACTGTTAAATAATGACTCTTCTTTTTTCTTTTGTAGGTTGTCTTAGTCTTCGCTCTTAGCATTGGTGCTCTTGTAATATACTTCATAGATTCGTCAAAGTGAGTATTCTAGTATATTTTCCTTTCCCTCCTTTCCTGCAGCAATTAGACATCCTTAAATTGCTCCATTCATCTACTTCAAATCAGCGTTTGGTCTCATTGCCTGAGTGCGAAGAACTTTATAATAGTGCATAGTCTACCAAAATAACTCAATAATGGGAAAAAGACTTTATATAAACTAGATTGAACACAGTGACATTGGATCTGTGGAATGAATACAGAGAAAAACTACTTTTGTGTGTTGAGATTGTACATACTGTTGCAAAATTATGGTTTTTATGTTCATTGGACATATGTAGAATCTTTCAAATTGAAGACTAGGATAAGAAATACAGGGGAAGAATATTTGCCAAAAAGTAACAGTTTGCAGGAGAAAAAAAGTGTCTTGGGAGACTGACAGGAGCACTTCTGAAAAACTCTGAATGAATTAGACAGTATGAGCATTATGTTTTGCATATCTGTTCAGATTTCTGACTCCTGGGTTTGATAGATTTCTCCCAAGATAAGGTGAGCCAGTAAAAATCTGCAAAGCATCTCAATATTTTTTAGATTTACACCAATATTATCATATAGTGTTATAGTTTTGGCCAGGCAATAGAAAGTTTCATTCTGACTTTTTGAGGTATGTGATGGTTTGATACAAACCAGTGTAACTAAGAATATCCTCTCTGTGATATCATTCATACTTCACCCTTGTTTTCATATCGAGCTGGACACTGTCAGTGGTGTAACAGACAAATTGGTAGCCTAACACAGAAGAAACCAATAAAACGGGACTGTTTAACAGAATATTATTCTGTTGAATCCAGTTATTTTGGAAGGATGATATTCTGAAATATCAACAGCATTTTAAAGCTCTAGGACTACATATTTGCTGCTTTTCTCCGAACTAGTTTTAGGCTTGCCATTACTGCAATGGTTAAGATAGTATGCTGGAGTCACGCCGTGTGAGCCAGCCTAGCTGTCTGTAATGGCAGTGATTATGTTCTAAAACAATCCTTATATAACTCAGAAAATCAGACGTTTCACTGTTGACATCTGTACATACTGATATTCGGGTAGGTGGTAGCACTAGCAAAAGGCGTTCCTGAATACATGGACGTCAACTTTACATCGTGTGAGTTTCAAGCCATACCTTTGTAGCGTAGATGTGTCAAGCACAACACAAATAACTAAGGTAGACATTTTCTTTGTGGAGAGGAGCCAAGTGGTGGGAGAACTAAAGTTCTAGCTTGAGCTCCCTTGAAGTGAGGACAATACTTTTTCCTTCTTAACATTGTGGTGAGTGTTCTCATTAATTTTAGCAAATTTCTGAAGATCTTTTTAAAAACTTTTAAAAGTACAATTGCAAAACTTCTGGGTGCTCAACATATCCAAGTCAAAAGTGTCAAATAGAATAAAACCTGTTTCCGCTTATGTTTCAGTTTCAGACCAACAAAATACAGCTATTTGTCAGGGCAATTTTCTTTTGTCAAACTAATGGATTATATAATGATTTTTAGGCACTGTATTCTAGAAGCCTTTGTTCAATTGTTTTCCTCAAGGAGAGCAAAACAGACAACATGGGAGATTTCTCCGGTGTGCTTAAACTTTCTGTGGGCCCCCTAATCCATGTACTGCTACCACCTTATTGGCTGCTCTGTTAATGGGGATAGAAAAACGTTTGAACTGTAGGTCTCTCTGGATTTTAAGCCAATGTTTGACTTCCAGCTGCAGTTTAAATTCAGAAACCTCAAGTTAATATACTCGCACACTGTTCCTTTGTTTTCTCCTTCTCTCTTACCCTGCTTTCTTCCCACACATATATCTGTGTCTTTTTTTTTTTTTTTTTTTTTTTTTTGGTAAATACTCATTAGTAGTTTAATTCAAGTTAGAAACTCGCCAGATATATCCCTGAAATGAAAAATTCTGCTTTAGTTCTGTATTAGCAGCTGACCTGACATCCATTTCAGCAATGCAGAATCAAATGTAGTGAAATATCAGTCTATTGAAGATCCCCAAGTGCATGATTAGTAAAAGTAATTCCTTTTAGAATTTGGTCAAACAGGAAATGAGGAAGGTTGGGTGAGAGGAAGGCTTGTGGTATCCTTAACAAAACAACTGGAACAACAGAGACTATGGCTTGGCCAGGAGCAGTGGAGACAAACAGGATCTAGTGTGCACGCTAGACAGACAGTGACACATACCATTGTGTGCTTTCCCTTGACAATGCGTTCTATAGCTGTTGTAGTCCACCTGTGCCATGGACACTTAGCTGTCATTTCATCTTATGCGTAGAGTAATAAAAATCATGTCTTCAATCGAAAGATGGAGAGTACTAGCGTAAGCATTTGTCTAAAACAAAATGCCAGCGATCTATTCATCCAAGACTCTTAATATGTCAGTAGATTTGCAGATGCAATGGCAGGTATGTCCACAAAGGAATCCTACATGACTTCATACATAAGGGACATCACAAATGATGGGAGTAACACCACCACTTAGATACTGAAGGAAGGGGAAGGAGTAGAAAGACCACTGAGTTTTGTCAGGCAAGGATGTGTGCCATGATTAGTTCTAGTGGAAGACACTGAGGAAGTCAATAAGGCTCATAGTGAAGATACTACCCATTGCTCCCTCTGCGATATTCATGGTATAGGGAAGGTGACTGGAGGCAAAATGAATGCTGTCACAACTGTGAGAGGAAGGTAAACGAAGAGCATTCTATGCTACCCAGTTCCTCACTCTCAGACACTCTCCCAGACTAGTGCCACATGAAATGGTACGTCCAGTGCAATGCTATTTGGAGGGATATGAGGTCAGAAAATAGTGCAGCTTCATCAACATAGTAGCCTCCATACCAGTTAGTCCTACATCTCAGCAGACCCAATTATGTAGCTTTGTGTTGCTATACAGTATGTCTGTACTAATTCTGGTTCTGGCACAAACTTAGGGATCTTTGCATCAGACTCCATTACAAAATATGGGCACAGTTGTGATCCAGTACATCAGCTTTAATCTGAATTGACTTTTCTTAGTAAAAAGCAGTACTTAACTCACCTTTTAAGAAAGGTTCTAAACAAAATCACAAAAATAATCATTCTTGGTGGAAAGAATGAAGGTTATTCATTGTTAAAACTATAGGGATTATTCCAATACCCTTCATTAAGATTATTCTGTTGTTTATTCAATGCTTCTACTTTTTACAAGCCACCAGATTGAACTGTTGTCTCCTAGTACCGCAAGATGTATATAGAACATTTTTCTTTAAAGTGAATATATACACTTTCAGTGATGTATGGTAGCCACTAATGGAAGATTTCAGTCCTTAAATGGGGAATTTATTTAGTAGAGAAATGACTGTCTTGGCATGCCTGTCAATTAAATCCAGTCACATCCTGGTAGGAAATGTTTCACTTATTACTAAGGACTAGACTCCTTCCTTCCTTTTTTTTGTAGAATCTTATTCATAAAACACTGCTTTCTTGGACAATGGTATTTTTCAATACTCGAAATAGCAGTTAAATGTGAAACATTTGCCAAAGAGATATAAACATCACCCACATAATTATTTTCATCTTTAGGTAACAAATAACCAAATAATTACATTTTTATTTTTAGAGATTCGTTCACTTTAATGTCTCTCTTCCATTTTTAGTTTGAATAAAAGCAGCACATTTAAAGAAGTAGTCATAAGCAGTTACTTAGAAGAGTTTTGATTAAGAAAGTGATCTACTTTAGTACAGAATAGCATGAATTAATTTCCTTTAAAATTTTTCATCATTTAATCCTTCAAGGTAAGGAAATACTGGAATGATCCTTCATTCTTAAGAGGAAAATTTAACTCAGTGTGCACTCTTTAGATGGTTCTCTGGAGTCTGTGGAATCTGCTGCATTAGAAGAGAGCACTTGATATCTGCCAATACTTCGTCATTTTCCATGCTTTTTTATAAGTGGTTTTCACAACCTCCCTCCTTCCTGTGTCCACTTCTGTTTGTTTTTCTGCATGTAAAAGATGTTTTAACAAATAGATATAGAAGTACTTCTCTTTTGCTTACATCAGCATTAAAGATGAATTGCCTATTTTTATTTCCATTTGCCATTCTGACCTCTGCATATCATACTGAATTAGAGACTCGAATAGAGTAGAGAATAACATTTGCTTACCGTGATCATCTTCAGGCACGGTCAGTAAAAGCACTAGCAGAGAAACTCAATTTCCCACTAAACTGGTAACTCAGGGCTCCAGTTTTCTATTTCTTCTAATGGTAGTAGCATGGAAACTGTTTATGATGTGAATATCCTTTTTCACTCTGGTTCTGTTTTCTCTTCTGGGGTGTAATACAATGTAATATGCAACCATAGATGTAAGCTGTGTATTTCAGAAATAATTTTTTTGCCAAAGAGCTTGCTTTCTAATTACTATCCTGTCTCTTGAAGTTCACCTCATTTACTGGAGTCTCTTCACTAATAACTGATGTCAATGTAGAAATAAAAGAACCCGTCAATGGCAAGGTGAAAACATAAAAACTCTCACAACTTGCTTTGTATGTTCTTCTCATGTGTGTTTTTCAGCTTAGCTTTTTGGAGTTGTTTGTATTTTCAGAGGCACCACTGTATTCCTAAATAGCTTTTTTTTTTTCCAATACTGTGTCATATATTGTACTTGATTAGAATTGTACATGAGTGCCATCTGGCAATGAGTGTAAAACAGCTGGATCTAAGAATAACAGTGGCACTGTGAATAGGAAGATTTATACAAATATACACACAGACATATAGGTTCATGCTGAGCCCTGAGCTTGTTCTCAACTATTACATTCTTAATCAGACAGCTTTATTTCTTTTTATACGTGGAACATAAAAAGTTAAACTTAGACAACTCTACTTTTTTATGTTCTATATATCTTTGTATATCTGAGATGATTTCAGAACTACTTTCTCCTTTTGCATACTGATTGTATAAAGTCCCGTTTGTCTAGATCTGATATCCAGGGAACCTGAATACTGCCCAAATGTAA